TGCCTATCACCTATGAGAATTGGACACAATTTCCATCAAAGCCACAGGGCATCTCTCCACTGACTTCAGGGGAATCAAGGCCCATACGTTGAATAAGCAGTAAATTATTTTCCCTTAGGAGAAATTTTTTAAGTCTATAATTCACTTAAATGACTAGAACACGGGAGGGACTAAGCACAGGAAAAGTTGAAAGAAAAGCCAGGATCATGCAGTGCAATGAGGACGGCAATCCTGCAATACATCTTTGTGATGAAGAAAGAGATTGAGAGGATAGTTACTTGTAAAAGGAGATCAGCTCCTGTCACACCTTCCACCTCACACCCAAAACCCCTGAAAACACAGGCACACCACCCACCCCCTGCCACAGCCAGCAGCCTCTTTGATACAACATTGTGGGTATCTCTTTCACTTTCATCTTCTGAAAGTTGGCTCTGTTCTAGTTAACATCTCAACCTGTACCAGGGACTCCCTGCATCTCACAGACATCTCAGGAGCTGCTTCTTTCTCTTCATTTTCTTCCAGTGTCAACACAACTTTTTAGATGCATCACGGTACTGCTTTTTTGTAGGCTTTCAATTCACTCTTTCCTTTTAGATGCCTGCTAATTCACCCATAAATTTATGGCTACAAATATCACTGTTTTTTGCACTTCTATCTGGCTTCATTCACAATGCAAATACAAAACTTCAAAGTCAAGGAGAAATCCTTTTGCTTCACGGTAGCCCAATTCCTTTCCACATTTCTTTTCAAGCATGCAATGACAGGATTAGCTAAGGATTAATTACTTGAAACTCAACCTGCATCTCAGGTCACAATTTTCTCATATTTTCAGCACTTAAAATCTTTGTATCAATCAAATATTTGTCATACAAACCAATATTTGCAACAGATAAAATATACTTCTTTCCACACAGATGTCCTAGCTGGGGGTCTCAAAACCCAAACAAAAATTCCACTTACTGTGCAAACTCCAATCCTCCCACCTGAAGTTGCAGTGCTTTCCAAAAATGTCACCTTTAAAGGCACAAAACCAGAATTTTCAGGAAAAGCAGTTTTCTCTGCCTTCTGTATTTGTCCCTTAAAGGCAACTGCTCTTCTGATAAAATACATTTACTCACTGGAAGGTAACCTAAAAAGTCAATGTGATTTGATTTTTTTATTAAGTTTTTCCATACAAATAGTCATGGCCTGTAATAAAATACATCTGTGCCTAAATATTGACTTGGGACTGACTGTAAATTTTGTTTAGCAGCACAGCAGGACTAGCCTAGTCTGCCTACATTTCATAGTAGCCAACTCTTTGAAGAATGTCTTTTTCAGTATAAAGGGTCACCTGAATAATCAAAGCATGTAAGATCAGTCCTCAAGGTATCTCCTGCCACTGCTAGCAGAAACATGTTATTCACCATGGTAATTACAAATGTTGCAAAATAAAGATGTTTACAATTTTACTTTGATTTAAATCATAAAAGCAAAGATTAAAACTGCCTCAAAGTCCTTTTTTTTTGGTGGCTTGTGACCTCCAATCAATAGGAAACACTGAAGTTCATGGGCTAGATATAAGAGTTTTCTATTTATTTATTCCTTTATTTTGTTTATAAATATTTCTTTGTATGGTTTGTTCCTGTTGTTGCAGCAAAACAAAACAAAATCAAAAAACCTCCTCTGCCATTAAATCTCACTTTTTACAAAATTTAATCTTGGGCCAATAAGACCTGCCAGTAACCCTCTGAAAATATTCTCAAGTGATTCTTTGCAAACAGATTAGGTTATCTATAACAAACTGGTGGTTAAAAACAACCATTACTGTAATTTTATACCGTACCTAGTCTGATCTGCATCCTATAAAAAGGAGCAAAACCAACTGCATCACCTGCAGGGCACATCTTAGTCACAATTCTGAGAATTAAAAAAAAAAAAAAAAAAAAGCAGCAAACTGTGTTGAACATAGGAAAGTAAATTATACATTAAAGACATCAAAAGAAAGAAAGTATTAAAAGCAAGTGCTCGAGCATGTTCAAACAAAACACAGCTACTGCATTAGGCACTGTATAAAACCAAGCTATGCCAAATTCCCAGTGTCCCACTTGTGAGCTCACCATTAAAATAAAAAGCCACTGAGGAAGGTGTATGCTTCTTCATGGAAATGCTTATGAATTAAAAAAAAAAAACCCACCAAACACACAGTGGTGTTGAGGCAAGGTTCAGCAGGGCAAAAGCTTCCCTGAGAGACACTTCTGGTTGCATGAGGGATGTGGGTCACTGGTAGCATGTGCATTTTTGCACTTTCACAAAGGAGAAATAGGATCTTGACACCACATGGAAGGTGGCCTCTGTGTTGAAATTTTATTGAACATGAATGACAGACTTGCAAAAACCTTCTTACATCTGTATGGATACAGCAGTTCAAAACTCATAATATACAGATAGCACTTAAATGCTCAGAATGATACACCTTTTCCTCATCCTAACTTAGACCACTTACATGAATTACCTCCATAACAACTTTTCTCCAAACTGACACAGAAGAGCTAGGTCCTGCTTTTTAGATCAAACAACTGCTTTGGGGTTAGGGTTTTTTTTGTAGCAGTGTTAAACAGTCAGCTTGCCTGCTGTGATTGCCTATGGATCACATATCCAACATATGCAGTTTGGACGCAGATCACTGGGAATTTCATCTCTTCCATTCACGTTAGCCTGTTCATCCTTTCTCTACCCAGGTCAGGGAGCAGCCATCAAACACAGACATTAATAAAGTTCTCTTTTTCTCTTTACAAAGATTAGCTAATAGATTTTTTTCTTAACTAATTTTAAAAAACAGAGCTATCTGACAAGTCACAAGTTATCTGCCTGTGCAATAGGTGGGGATAGGAACACTGTGCAGTACTACAACACTGTCAATTTCTCCACAAGAAAACCAGTTTGCCCATCCAGAAGATAAAGCCAACAAACTGCTGCATCTATCACAGAGCTGCCAAACTCCCTGCATGCCACCAACACCTGACACCCACCACAAAAACACAGGGCTTGCTCCACCTGAATGCAATCCTCAGGCCTGCTTTGGCACCACCTCCCTGGCCAAAATTTCCTCCACCTTCCCAGCTTAGCTTTGCCCCTCCCCTCCAGCAGGCCCCATGGACGCTGCTGCCACAGGGGAGCTGCTGGAAACTACCAGTTTAGAAAGAAAACACTCATGCCATCTGAAGGCAGATGCCCCAAGGCCAGCCAAAACTTGGTGTGGGGTGGTCCTCCAGCAATAAGTCTCTCTCAACACCGAGATGATGATTAGAAAAGAGCTCAGTATTATCAGTGCCAGATATTCCAGATCACTGCTGGAATGTGGATTACTGCCACTGCTGTAGTATCACCAAAATTCTGTATCTGTGGTGAGGATTTAGTCCTGTTATGGCCACAGTTGCTTGCTCTCCTCGTGGGGATTGCAGCACAGGCTTTCTAAAAGGACAGTGCCCCCTTCCAAGCCTGGTGGTCGTAAGGGAGACAAGTTTTACCAGTATAATTCACGGCTGAGTGAATTTTCCTGTCTTCATTAAGGGTTTACACCAGTGCTGCTACCTTGGAAGTCTGCCATCAATAAGCAGGTCAAACCTCTTAGTCTGGGAAAAGCCTCTCCATTGTCTTCTGTCTCATGGACAGTTCTTCAGTAACTATGTATTTTTTTTGGAGACCAGGGTGTTGGAAAACAATTGAGATATGAGTAAAGCGTTCTCCTTCACCACAAAGTAAACTGTATGCTTAATAAGATGAAATAATTTGGTCTCTGTGGACCAGAAAACAATAGCCTCACTGTTGCACTGATATCTTTCAAGTTATGTCCTCGTGTCACCCAAAGCAAACTGTAATAGGGACTGCTCCACAGCTCAGATTCCCTTTAAACCCCTTAGCTAACCTCTTTTACCTCTTCAGGTTTCCCTCTTTACCACAGTCATTTCAGGAAACCTCATTTTCTTAAAAAAAAAAAGCAGCAAAAAAAGTGCTAACTTTTATAAGGCCATACTCAAATCCCCTATGTTTCTTATAAATATCCCTAATTTTTATTCTTTATGCCAGGAGCTGAGATGCATAATGAAGTAAATAATATCAACAACTGTGACTGACTTTGAAGGGCACAACAGCAAGTAGAGCTTTGCCCTCTCCCTCCAGAGCAGGATGAGAATCTACTAATTACTTTATTGCAGTGTGGGTGGAAGAATGAGGGAACTTCAAATCAGCACAGCATTCAATGCAGTATTTCCTTTATAGTGAAGAACAAAAAATAACCCCAGACCTAGAATAAATCTCCCTGCCCAATTCCTCCTTTTGTTTACACCAGGTCTGAGGTTACTTACACAGCAGCACAATGCTAGAGATTCCATACACATCTCCACACCTTAGGGCATGTGCCCACCTTTAGTTGTCTATCTCTGAGGAGAAACTTTTCCTAGAGGCAGGCTATTATGTAATGCTCAGGATGAGCAGTTTCTCACATCTTCCTTTGATCTGTTAAATAAAAGCCACCACAAGAAAAAAAAAATGCTAAGCACTATATTATTTTATTTTCCTGCCACAGTTCTACACCTATTGTCTCTCATTTTTAGAGATCTTTTTTATCATTACTGATGCTAACAAACAGCCATCAGAAGCAGAAAAATAAACCATGTAAGGCACAATTAAATACTCAACATACTCCCCTTCAAGACAAGAAAATAATAACAAAACAACTGAAACCTGAGCCTCTTTCCAGCTACACTAAATTATGCCACTGAAATCAAATGCTTATTAATGGTTTTATTTACCCTCTGATACTCAAAGACACGGAGATTATTCCATTTCTGAAAAATCTACCACCACCACTGTGCAACAGCAACAGCTAGGGATTAGCAAAATAATAAAGGAAAATACAATTCAGACATCAGAGAAAGGAAGATTCCTCCACAGAGAGGCCCTTCCATGGGGAACAACCTCAGGATCTACAACCTACTGTGAGCACAGAGCACTCTTACCTGTGTGACTGAGCATGTGCCGCTGCAGGGCACTCGCCCATGGAAAGACTTGAGGACAGTAAGGACAGGGGATATTTTGCAGGCAGTCTGAGTAAGTGTTCCTCTTCCCTCTCAGCAGCTTATCCTTGGCAGTTTCCTTCTCATCCTCACTTGTTCCATTTCTGCCACTTTCTTCCTTGAAATTGTCAGTGGACTGCAGAAATGGGCTAAATTTGTTAGTGTCTGTGGTAGCCAGCATCTTCTCTATGCTAGCAAATTCCCCACTTGACTCCAGATCCACACTACTGAGAAGTTTGGGCTTATTTTTTGTTCCTTTCTTTCTACCTCTTTTCTTAGTCAACCCAGCATCAGCAACAGGAGACTGCTCTGGATCACAAGCCTGAGACAGGTCACTGGGCAGGCTGGAGTCTTTCTGAATGGTGCTCACGATTGTCACTTTAGCTTTGGCATTCCCTGATTTGTCACACCCAGCGGAGCTGCTCACTGCCTTGGGACTGGCGTCTGCAGCCTCCGTTTTCAGCAAAGTGGGAGCAGAAGACACAGATGAAATGATCTGTGCAATGGAAGCCAATGGTGGCAGCTCTTTAGTTACTGAAGGCTTTGGCAAGAGAGGTGGTGGTGGTTTAGGCCTCAGGGGTCTCAGCAAGGCAGCATTGCCAGGGGGAGCTGGGGAAATGATCGGGACAGTCAAATGCAACGAACCTTTCAGTGGCTGGGGATGTCTGACACCCCGGTTTGTTTCTGAGTTCCCATTGGCACCAAAAACCAAAGGACACTGGAGACAGTTATAGGCTTTATCACTGTTCCCAGAAGCAGCCAGCTCTTGATTCCTGGCTTCACAGGGGACATCATCTTTATCCTTCTTCAGGATTTTGGGGATGGACAGGTCAATAGGCTCCATGGAACAGTCATAAAGGGACAGAGATGAACCAAACAGGTTCTCCTGCTTCACCTGCACAGCACTCAGGCTTTTGCTCTTCTGAGAGAAATCCAATGGCTCATCAAAATCCATGGGGAAGTTGCCCACAGGTTCACGTTTGATGGAAACGTGAGATGATGTTCCCAGCAAGAAGCCGTTCTGTGGCTCCAGGAAAGGCGTCATGGGCTTGTGGTCCATATAAGTGCTGTCCTCCAATAAAGAAGGGTCTGTCTGGCTTTCCTGGGCACTGCAGTCCACCATTAAGATGTAATTCTCGATCTCCTTTTCCTGCACATGCAAGTGCTGCTTGAGGATGTGGTGAATGCAATTCCTCTTGGCCGAAAAGGCCGTGCCACACTCCTTGCACTCGAACGGCTTCTTCTTCTGGCAGCCGCTGTGCGTCCTCATGTGAATGCGGAGGGCCCGGTAGTGCTTCAGGTCCTCTCCACACAGCTTGCACACCGTGTCTGGTGAGCAGAAGGCATCCACCATCTCTGCAGCATTGCTGGTGACATATTCAATGTTCTTCTCGATATCTTTCCTGGTTGTTTTGAGGTGCTTCTTTCGCAGGTGCCTCTCACAATTGGCTTTCACTGTGAAGGGGTAGTGGCAGATTTTACAGATGTAAGGCCGCTCCCCGCTGTGCGTCCGCAGGTGCCGGATCAGCGCTGCCTTGTCAGCCGCGATGTAGTCACAGATGTTGCACTGATATGGGGAAATACCTAAGTGAGAACGGATGTGAGCTCTCAGGACACCAGAGAAGGCAAACACCTGGTCACAGAAACGGCAGGGGTACAAAACTTTCCTCATGGTTGGGGTCTTCTTGTTCGCTGCCCCTGCAATGATGGCTTTGAGTTCTCCTTCTGTGACTTCTTGTTTGATCTTGGCTTCCATACTTAGAGGCAGGAGAGCTTCAATGATGCTGTCCTGCTCCAGCTGTGTCTTCATTTCGTGCTGAGTTAACGGCTCTACTTTGGGTTGGAGGAGCAACTGTGAGGAAGGACTTGATTTGGCTCCTGGCTGGGGTAGATGAGAATTAGAGGCAGATTCCACTGAGTTCTTGATCAGCCTCAGAGGGGGAGGTGGGAGGCTTGGGCTGATGCAGCCAGGGGAGGCTTGCTGGGCACTGATAAGAGGAGGAGGTGTAGAGGTTGCGACAACTGTTCGGGGCGTTACCAAAGGCTTTGGCTTCAGTGGTGGCATATGCTTGAAAATAGACTGCACGGGGACAGAAGGTGCCTTAGAAAGTGGAGGAAGACTGATTTGAGGAGGAGCAGAAGAAGCCATCTTCAAGATCTGCTGAATATCTGCCAGCTCAATGGCAGACTCATTGGAGATGGGTTTCACCACAATACTGCTGTCAGGCTGGATAATAAAACCCTTCTGGAAAGGCTGCAGCGAGAGAAGCTTTATGTTTTCTTTTGTAGGGGGAAGGACTGAAAATGACCCTCCCATGGAGGCAGCTTCCAGAGGAGAGAGGCTGAGCAGACTGGTGCTGCCAGGTTCCTGAGGTAGGTTACTCTTCAGAGCTCTGAGCCGCATTTCTTGGACCTCGTCTTGTGTATTGTCCTCCTGCTTGACAGGCTTGATGTCTTTGGTGTACTGTAGGCCCAAGGATGCCATGAAGACTTTCTGGTCTGGGCTCTCACCGGGTGGGGTTGTGGACTGTGGCTTGTGCTTGTCTTTTCCCTGATCCACCACGTGAGTTTCTGTGTGCAGTTTGAGTGCCGAAAGCATGGGGAATGCCTTGTTACACATCTCGCAAATGAATCGATGGAAGTCACTGATGCACCTTCGCAAATTTGTTTCACACCAGACCTGCAAGACATGCAAAAATATTTAGAGTAGGAATCTCAAACTGCAAAGGCATCACAAGCTGCTGCAAAACACAAACAGTTCACTCTCTCTTCCACTGACTAAGTTAAGAGGTTTAGAGCTGCCCTCCCCTACCCGGCATGAAGATATTCCCACTTCACAGCCTTTAGTCTCCTAAGGGGTATATCTGAATTAGGAGCTGATTCTCCACAAGTTCCCTTCTACAAAAGTAACCTCCTTCAGAAGGCTATTCAGGCTCTCAAATTCTTTTCCATCCTAGATTTCCCTATTAGAAACTTCTCTTGTGTCATTGACAGGACAGGAGGCTCAGCATACTATACAGCAAGGAACCAGGCAGTAGACTATCTCATTTAGCTCTACTACAAAGAAACCAGGAGCAAAGAAAAGAAAAGAAAAAAGAAAAAAAAAAAAAAAAAGAAAAAAAAAAAGGCATCCAAGAAGCTAAACCAATGTAAACCAACCAAAATAAAATCCCCCAAAAGCAGATCAATGAAACTCAGAGCTTAAAGCAGAGTGGTTTTTGGTTAGGGAAGTCTGATTACATTTATTCTCCCAAGAAAAATACTAGTAGAGGGCTGGCAAGATCTTTACAGACTTTAAATACTTTATAAAACTTCTCTCACAGTGCAAGCAAAATTATTACAAAAGGAAAATACCAACATTCAAATCCCTTAATAACTTTAAATGTCTGTCATTAATTACAAAAGAAATAAATTTTGTTTAAAAAGTTCTTTCTTTTGATATTTTAAGTTTTATACAAAAACTGTAACAGACTGACAGAAAGACCTACATGCTTCCCTGGTCCAGCAGCAAATTTCAAGTCTACCACTTTGCAGTCAGAAGAGTTGGAAATCAATATTTTAACCCCGGAAGAGTAAGAAAAGTGCAGAAACTAAGCATGGTCCTGGTGGATTGTGCTGTTGATTTTCTAATAGATAATGCAGCTTCATCCAGACCCAAACTAGGATAGGCAAGATTTGACAGCAGGAGGAATCATATCATCCAACAGAAATGTTTATGGCTCTCAGAAAAATATTTACAGACTACCTCCCTGACTTTCCCCATCCACTGTCCTTCAAACTTTACATGACCAACATTGTGGAGTGTTTTGTGAAGGAATCACTGAAGATGTCACTCTTTAGTTAGTAAGGCGACTGCTCAAAGTTTTTTGTATTAAAAACTTTCATATCCCAACTACATCCTTGTCAGAGTAAACTAAAATAAATAATGTCTTCCTTACCATGTGTACTCCCTGTTGATTTCAGATGTAGGATTTTTTGGGTATGCTCAAAGGGGTAAGGATCTAATATGATCAAAGTTTTCCTTCAGAATTTTTTATACATCTTCACACTGGTAGCTATCCACTGTAATGGTGAAAAAGCCATTACAGTGGATAACTGTAATGTTACTGGCACATTACCCAGTGTCAATATTCTTTAGATGAAAAAAGAAAAGGGAGAGGCTTGAAGTGTTTAAAGCCTACATGAACAGTGGTGATGTACCTCCCATAAAATATTCTACATGCAGGATGAATCTTTCAATGACCTCATCAGATAAGCACTGTAGCAGCTGGCACCTAAATCTACTGAGAACAGAGAGTACCTGAGAAATGCGGGGGAACTTCCTACAGGAGAAGTCCGTGAATCCCAAGTCGTGGAAGCCTGCTGGAATTGAAGGGTTGTTCTGAATGAAAGGCTTTCCCATGGGATCTCTGGGAAGCTGCTTGTGGATAACTGCATTGTGGCGCAGTAGGCCCCGATGAGTACGAAAGGTGATACAACAGATGTCACACCTGGAAAGGAGAGGAATGAAACAGAAATTACTTACTGACTGCTGCAAGCTTAAGAACTAGCATTCTTTTTGCACTGGGACATCCTCTTTCCTCTCACCCCATGATACCAAGAACTTGTTAAATGCAAAATAAAGCCACAGTGTATCACCACAAAAGGCCATTTTGGTCACAGTCACTTTCTACCAGTTTCTAGCTAGTAAGTCCACTGGAAGTTTAAAGAATGCGAGAACTGACAATCTCACATGGGCAGACCAGAGAATGGCAGCTGAGATAACACATTCTGAAAATATTTACATTGTCCAACAAAAAATATTTCAATGGCCTTACACCATTTTATTTTTTCTGAAAATTCCTGTTAAAATAAACAACATTTTAAAAAAATCAGCGACAAGGAGAGGCTAAATCTGACCTAAATAAAAAGCAAATGTAAAAGCAGCACCTTTCATATCCACTACTTAAAACTTACTGCTGCATCTACTCTAATATCTGTGTGTCAATCATCATCACATTGCTTTTCCATAAATTTTCACTGGTATTTTTTAAAGCTGTTATGAGAAATAGACTGTTTGAAAAGGAAAACTAGTGCTCCTTGAATGGGAGAAACGTTCAGAGGAGGAAGACCTGAAACAAGTTCAACACTTCTGACACTTTTAGATCCCCTTCACAGCCAGTTTGCCCTGAAGAAAAATGCAGAAGCACTGTCTTTTCCTACCCACACTTTATTGCTGTGATTTCTTGTTTTTCTTAAGTTCTCAAATCCCAAAGTCAGCTAAACAAGGGCTTCTCACATAAAACACTGAATTAAACAATCAAAGCTATGCTGCAGGCAGGAAGGGCTATGCAGCAACATTTGGTCAACAAGTCAACAAAGCCTATTGCCTTTTAAATATTTGGTATGTGAGCTCTGCAGCATGACAGGTCATGTCCAGTCTGCATTCAGTAAGTGACACACAGTTTCACTCAACCTCAAGTTCCTTGTGGCTATAGGTCCAGCTCCCAGCCAAAACGTGGGTTTCCCAGAAGCAAAACACCAGTGGGTATGAGGCAGTCAGATTTTGTCACTGAGAATGTTATATGCACTAGGACTTTTTCACATCTGCCTGTGGCCTTGGTTTTCCCCATACTGCCTTTGCTCTCTACATCAAGGAAAAGGACATGTGCCTAGTCATTAAAAAAACATCCTGCAATTAGAAATGGCTTCTGACAAAATCCTGAAACCACCCCCTCCCTGCCCTATCCCTAACAAACTCCCATTGTTGTGCATTTTATCACTACATAAACTCCCACAGCCATTTTTTTATTCTCTGAAAACGAAAAGATAACCAAGTCACCCACAAAGCAACTGGCCTCATAGTCCCTGAGTGGTGAAAGAAGCAAGTGTGAAGTGTATATAACATGACCATTGTTATCACAGTACCCAGAAAGCTTGGACATAAATATGCACTGAAGGTTTAAACTGTTTTAACTCTCCTGTCAATTCACTTGCATCCTACCTGTACAATTACTGCTGACATAGTTCCTGCATTCCATTAAATACCAAACCAATGCCATTTACAAAGCAAATGTTTACTTAAAGAGGTATGCCAAGTGTGACAACAATCTCAGGGGGGTGGGGTGGGATGGCCAACACATAGTACTTCAGCATCAGTATCCACGGCTCTCCACCAGCTCACTTGGCAGCACCTATTCTGTGATGCAAAGCTTTCATCTTCAGTGAAGACAAAAACACAACCACCAAAACCACTGGGGGTCAAAGAGCATTAAAAAATTATGAGTAGTCACCTGAAGAACTTGCAGGCTACTGAAATTAATTGCTTTTAGAGGTGATGAAAATACCTTGCATGAAAACAAGCAGTGCTTCTGACATGTTCCTCCTGGTATGTCAATATACAAACAAGGAGGGTTTGGAAACAATTCTCTTGCACCACTGGAAGCATTGCAGGGACACAGACCCTGACCTCAGGGGCATCCTGAAGCATCTCTGGGGTCCCAATGTGCCTGGCCTGTCCTGGGCCCAGGAACCCAGTGCAGCAGCTGTATCCCCTTGTGTGTGACAGGGCAGGTGCAGCTTCCAGTGATGGCACCACAGAGCTACTGGGAGCACTGACACCTGGCACTGTACCCCAGGATCTGGGCTGAGCAGGAGCCAGTGATCCTTGTCAAGCAGCCACACATCCCACAGAGCAGGGAGGTGTGCCTTATTCATCTTGCACTCCTCCTCGCCTCCCTCTTGCAACACGCTGATTTTCAGCGCTACTTTATTTGGGTGTCCCATCAAAAGCTGCACTTGAGAGTTAATCTTTCAGAGCAAACACCCATGTGAAAGTCCTTCACAGTACACCTGTATCAACTGCTAGCCTCAGGACAGTAAAATTTTGCAAGTTAAAAATGGTGTTTTCCATGCAAAGGGAACCACCACCCCTCCCCCAAACCTAAGTAATATATCTTATAAAAGGAATATAAGCTTTCCCTTTTTTTGAGTGTGTTTTTTTTCTCTTTCTTCCTTATCTTTTATTTTCCTTGCTGTGAGTGAAGAAGCAGCAAACAAAAAAAGAATGTGGGACAAAGATTAAGCTCTTTTTTCATTAGGTCAGAAAGAAGCACCTGGCTGAAAAAAGAAACATCCTCATAAATCCTGCCTGTCACCTCAAGCTGCAGGCTCTTCAGGGCATATAAATGCACTGCACCTTGCCCTGGTGGCACAGCTTACAGAACCACATGGGAAGGAGCTGTGGATGCCCTGCCTTCCTCTGTGATCCAGGTATGGACTCCTAGCACCTCCAAGAAAAGCTTATAGCTAATAAGTGTCAAAACCTAACTAGTTAAGGCAAGCATTGCTGCACTGACTAAGTCTTAGGTTAATTTAAAATGGAGTAAGCTGCCATGCCTAACAGTGCATTAACTGGAAGCATTAGGTTTTTTTTTAAGGAAGTGTAACTATTAATTTCTCTGTTTTGTCATCAGTACTATTTTCTATCTTTGAGTAGTGTCACTGTCTACAGTACTTTTAAACCTAGATCCACAGTTTAAGAAGGAAAAGAGAAAGGAATCCTAGGTGATATGAACATTTTTTCATCTTGCTTAAACTGCTTTAAAAAAAGTTAGTAATTGTGGGAAGTCTGAAAAGACCAGCACATCAAATAAAGCATCTGAAACATATGGTAATAGTTTGCTCAAGATGAACGTAAAAAAAAAAAAAAAACCAACAAAAACAAACAAACCCAACAACAACAAAAAAACCCCAAATATACAAAAAACCCACCAAAACAAAACAAAACAAAAAAACCAGAGAGGCCTCCCTCTCCTTAAAATTTCCCAAGTCTGCTCATGTACAGTTAGTTCCAAGTCAAACATGGATGGCATGGCTGCAGAGAACAGTGATGGGAACAGGTTCTGAGGTTGTCAGCACCACAGGACAAGCAGTGGCTCAACACCTGTGCAGAAATTAAAGCACTCTACTTGCAAGGTAAGTTTCCAGATGTATCTAATAAAAGCTGCTGTGTTATCATGTGATTGCTAGCCTTGGCCACAGTCTTCAATTTTTCTATGAATATGATTACAGAGTAAGTTCCAAGTATAGAGATTAAATTTTAGGTAGAAAGGAAAAAAAATGTTTTTAGCAGCTAAGGCCCCTTTAAAATTACTTTAATTCTCAATTGCCTTTATGTTTTGGACTTGCTCATATCTGTAACATGCAAATATAATACTAAGGCTCTGGCTCACTGGCAGAAGTATAAAAAACAAGCAGGTAAGGAAACAGAACTCCAAATATAACAACACAACAACCAGGCTGCCCCTGGTGTTTGGGCCATGTATCACACCAGGCAGGTCTGATTAATTATTACTACACCAGTGCACCTTTTCTTTCTTTTTAAAATTTTCTTAAAGCACACAAGTGTATGCATCTTTGTGTAAAAACACACCATTAAAAAGCTTTCTTCTAAAATAATTTCATATTCTTGAAATCTGTAATGCTAATTAGGATATAAAATCATTTTAACAGGCTTTAAGAAATAGTCAGTGCTTTGCAAAACTTGTTTATTCAAGGGGGCAAGGCAGGATTTGCTACACTTCATAAGTGGCACCTCTGCAAGGAAAGTTTACATAAGCAGTGCCTGTTACCTTGCATTACACTCTCCTTTGAGACAACTCCAATTTGTCTGCAGAGGAAATAGCTGTCCTTCTTTAAGAAATGGAAAGACATTTTAGAAAGGAAACACAGAGACAAATTTTTAGCAAAATTAATCAGTCTTGATTTTGATTAAGAGTAAGGCAGACAACCACTAAATCCTTCTAGATTTTATATTTCAGTAGTCAAGACAAAAATGCCAAATATTTGTATTTACTGTTATGTTACCAAGAAATTAAACAAAACACTATGCTCTGCATTACCCGAGACTGCTGGTGAGCAAGTGACATTTACCATTGTTCTGCTTGTACTTCTGAAACCACACAGACTAAAACCTGAAGTTTTCACCCATGTAGCTCACTATTACAAAGTTGCCCATATTGTGGATGTTAACAAATAAAAACAGTCTTAAATTTCTAGGCCTTATCAAAAATAAAAAGCTTGGTACCACTTTGTTCCTTTCCTGTCTGTGCTCTTTAGCAACTTCCACAAACAGAAGCAAGGAAAACAAACAAAAAGAATGAAACATATCCTGAGACAGAAGTCATTAATACACAATTAAGTTATGAAGTTGTCTAACTCCTCCCACTGAAACTCCCAGTCAGTACCGTGTATTTTTCTATCTCTGTTGTTATTATTCTCCTTTCTCTCTTAAAGTTATTTGCAGAATTAATGTGGCTCTCATGAGCAAAGAAATTCCTATGCTGACCTAAAAATAACACAACTGGGTAGCAGAGAAAGATGGGTGATTCCCTGCTGATGACTCATGTCCACACCGGCGGTGGGAGCAGGCTCCCAGCCTCCACACTGGCAATGTCCCCCGCAGCCTGGCAAGGACGGGGAGATGGAGAAGGGATGGTTTTAAATACAA